AAACATACTTGTGAACCTTCCGCCACAACAATCCCGCCCCCTTGATAATCGACCAATCACATTCACTTTATTCACTCATTTAAAGTCGTGCACCACTCTGGAGAATTTGGAAATGCAACGATTGGAACAGCTGCTTCCTTAAGACTTTAAAAAGAAACAGTTTGGAAAGTTCGGTATTCAACTTTCCCTGCTTTGTGTCAACCATCACTGTTGCTAAGCAACAGAGCATAGGCGGTGAAGGCCGCCGAAGGCTGGACCTGTTTGAATTCCTTATTTCCACGTAATTCAAAGGATCCAGTCCAGGTTTACCGCGTCCTTGGAAGATGCAGCCCATAAATCCAAACACATCAGTGTGTACAAAGTTCTTCTGATATCTACAAACCTGCTCTGATCATCTTAGCAGGTTCTAGGTCTGTTGGGTTGCTATGGAATCAGAGAGAATCTGTCTCATCTGAGGAACCTTCTTGCTACAGAGAAACCGAGAAGTCCTGCAACAGAAGAACAGACCTGGATGCTGCGTGGCGAAGGGTTCAAGGTGCTGATCCAGCAGGAAACTGGAAGACGCGGTCGATCGAGGAATTAGCAGGATCAGGTCCTTCGATCCTGGGATGAACAGGTTCATCCTGAAGTCCTTCTGGCTGCACACCACCTCGCCCTTCACACTGAGAGCCAGAGACAGCGGTCAGTCAGAGCAGAGCAGGTCAGGGACCAGGACAGTTCAGGACAGCAGACCTGATGAGAGGCAGCTTGTTCTTCTCCTGGGTTTCAGGAGGAATCAGCGATTCTGGAGGAAGAGGAACGATCCTGACGCTCTGAAAGGAACCATGTGGGTCAGTGAGGAGATCCCCAGGCTTCTCCAGGCGTCCGCAGGGCTCAAACTCACCGTGCTGTTGTCCGACCTCTGGGACGAGTCACGCACCTCCAGGTCCAGAGCAGTGAACTGAAGGAGACGGAGGACAGACTACATTACCCAGAATGCCCTGGACAAACCACCAAACCAAAAGGTAGGCCTTTGTTCTCACAGACGCGTCGTCGTCATCGTAGCTCGTCTGCGTTTCCCCTGCAGCGCCGTTCTGAGCCTCCGCCGCCTCTTTGCTCCGCCTGTAAAAAAAACCAGAACAGAATCAGAACCATGAGACCCCCCCCTGACCCGGCCCCCCCTCCCCCCAGCTGTGACGGCGCTGCTTACTTCTTGTTCTTGTCATTGATGTACTCCAGCGTTTGGTAAACCAGGGTGTGAAGAAGCTCCACCTGGAACAAGCAGAGACCCTCAGGAAGAGACACCTTCACCCCCCCAGATGTCTCCACCCACCCAGCTGACCTCCCATCATGGCTCCGCCCTCCTCACCCACCTTCTTGCTGTAAATGCAGGTGGATCCCTGGATGAGCAGCGCAGCTTCTGCAAAGTTCAGCCTGGTTTTCCCTCCATCAAAGGTGATGCACATCTCATCCAGCTGATGGAGAAAAGACGAGTTGAGCAGCAGAAGCCTCTCAGTCCTCGGAGATTCATCTCAACCACACTGCATTCACAGTTTACCTCCTCTAGGTAGTCGTTGAGCTCAGACGCCACGTCGATGTCCCAGTTCTTGGTGAGCTCTCTGATTGGCTGCAGCAGGTGGGCATACCTGTTCTCTGTGGACTCCATGACGGGAGAACTGCTTCCCACACCTGGAACAAAGTCATGCTGGTCTGTAGATCTGTTCTGAAGTGGAGCTGAAGCTACGTTGTGTGATTGTTAGAGGATCTAGTGATTGATCCAGAAACAGCGATGCATCAGGCTCATAGAGGAAAAATCTGTGTCAGTTTCCAGAAAGTCAGGCGACCGATACGGGAGCTGTTTCTGACTGACTGAGGCTCTAAACTCTGTTTAAAAACAGATCCGTCAATGCCACGAATCTGCTAAAAATAAACAAAACCCAAAAAGGTCTGATCATTAGCCGTTTATCATTCAAATGATCAAGAGTATTGGAGCAGCCTAAAAGGAAAAGGAACGGATCAGCCGCTGCGTTTTAATTTTTATTTTCTCGTTATGTCATCCTTAAGTTAATTTCAAATTGACTCTTAGTTTATATACTGTTTTTACTGTACTTATTGTTTTATAATTATTATTTAAAATCCGGTTCCACAAGCATCCTCACTCACATTTTCCCCTAAATTTTCATGTTTATATTATTTATTGCTGCATCTAAAAATATAAAAAAATATACATTTTCTATTAAATATGAAGTAATATGAATTAATACAATATAACCTAGAATAACTTAAATGATATCATTGTACTGGGTCATCAAATCAATTCAGTTTAGTCAAATAAGCTGGCTGTAGTGTCTTTAAATGTCCAGCAGGTGTCAGTATTCTGCAACAGTATCAACACAGCATTTTGGCAATGAATCTAAGCGCTTCAAGATGCCTTATTAAACACCACTAATCAACAGTGATATCTTACCGACTAAACCGGAAGTAAACACAGTTTATAGAGCTGAACTATCTAGATTGTAACTAGACTAAAATGGGACGGAAGAATTTGACAACATTCCCACTAAAATAATGAAGTTACAGGATGAAACGGTGACAATTTACACATTTAGTCTATCAGCAACAGTCCCCCGTCCCCTTGTTTCATTGATGGATTAATATTTATCTTATTTTTCAGTGATTTCTAAAACTCCTCAGGTGCTTCTATCTACCAGGAGCTGCTGCTCTGATCTAGAAACACGGTGCGCGTTCACGTTTTTTCTGTGAACTCTGATCGACTGCACGGAAACTGATCAGTTAAATCTGTCTCATTTAGTGACATTAAACCAGCGATGCGTCCTTTAGATGAAATCTAATCAAGGCGGCTTGACATGTTGACCCTGACTTGATTCGGAAAAGGTCTTTAAGTCTGGCTTTTATGAGCGAGTTTTATGAAATACACATCCGGACGTAAAAACTCAAATAAATCTCTCATAATTACAGCTAACTACGAGGCCGAACGTGTGTGTTTATCCTAATAATCAGTAAATTGTCTTTTCTGGGCCTCTGCCTATTAATGTATCTGAAAAAGAAGCTAAAAATCTAAAAACTGGCCGAATTCAAGCAGAGTCTGGCTGGAAGACCATCTCTAAACTGAGCGGATTTAAGTAAAGTTTATTAGGGTTATTTTACTAGCATAATGACATCCGTTTATTGTGACGTTTTTAACAAAATTATTCTGATTAAAACAACCCATAAGAAAAACAATAATGAAGGTTGTTTATATGTAATCAAACTCACCGAAACTCAAACAACCCGCGCTCAATCTCTTCTTCTTTGGTTTGTATTGGTGTCGAGGTGCCGCCTCTTTCTTCTTCTTCTACTGTTTTAGAATTTAAATGACTACTGCCGGTGTTTACCGCCACCTAGTAGACCGGAGGAGATAAATCGCATGTAAACATTTAATATTTAAATTCAGTTGAATAACTCTATATGTTAATATTGTATTGAATGATTACAGATATTTGTAAATATATTTTCTAATGTTAAGAAAACGACCTCTCCTCTTTACTAAGACCTGCTTTTAAGCTTTGATGCTTTCTTTATAATTGATGATTTCTATTTGGACATGTTTCAGGTTTCTAATGAACTGAAATAACTAAAAATCCCTCCTGTTGTTTTTTCTATTTAGAACAAAGAATTATTCAGACTTTATGTCCAGCTTATTATTGAGTCATGATAATTTCCTCTTTGGCTTCCACTATCTGATCGTTGGTAACCTATAGAAATGTCTTCCTATAACATCCTTATCCCTTGGCTCCTGCCATATTTTAATGACATGTTATGAATGGAATATTTCCCTTTAAGTCGATTATATCTTGAGGGCCTGAATGATTAAAATATCCATTATCAAATCTTACATTTGTTTTAATATTCTGATTTCTTTCTGTAACTTGATTCTCTTTTAAGCAATTCCCTTATTTCCTTTTCTTGTTCTTATAATGATCTCAAGCAAACTTCTGTGAGTATTTATTAAACTCCAAGAACATTTCCAACCATGGTCCAGAGGTTCTGGAGGACTGATTCTGGTGGTTCTGGAGGACTGATCCTGGTGGTTCTGGAGGACTGATCCTGGTGGTTCTGGAGGTCTGATCCTGGTGGTTCTGGAGGTCTGATCCTGGTGGTTCTGGAGGTCTGATCCTGGTGGTTCTGGAGGTCTGATGCTGGTGGTT